CATTTCCCTGTTCTAGCTATTTATTCCAAGATCCTCCTTAACCTGTTCTTCCCCAATTTCAAATCTCAACATTAGTCAACTGGTCATTTGCATTCAGTACAACAAGCCCTGGCTTTGATCCCATTGACGTTCATTTTTCTGTTCTTCCAGCTGATATTGATCATGAATTAGTATATTATGAAACTGTGCCTGCACAGTCTGCATGGTTAGCGTGACTAAACATCCTTCTTCTCCCTTGAGAGCATGATCAGCAACGTGCTGAGTCCTATGAGGAACAGGCATTTTTGCTCTTGTGTCTGTTCTGTTTGCAACTGTGGCCTCCACTCAGGTTGATCTTTTGTTGTCAACAGGTGATAACAGATGCTCTGCAATGGAATCGTAGTGGAAAAATACCACAATACTATGAACACATGGAAAAGACCTTGATGTTGGGAAAGTGTCCATGGGGTCACAAAGAGTCGGACACGACTAAACGACTAGATGACAACTATGAACACCACATTTCCTACATGCATTTTGGTGTTCCATAAAAATATGAAGAAAATGTATCACATAAAACAATGCATTAAGTGAAAAATTTTTTTATGTGCTGTGAAGTCAGTTCTGACTTATGGTGACCTTTTTCAGGGTTTTCCAGGTAGAGAAGTGATTTACCATTCTCTTCTTCTGTTACCTAAGGCCACACAGGTTGGCTCTACCTACAGGAGACACAGTTTTGAATCAAACTCCCAAACTCTGACTGAGCAGCCAGATATCTAAACCACTAAGTTATCCAGCTAGAAATGGGTCTGTTGACAGTCCTAAGCTAGTTTTGTAAAGAATGTTTATGGGCTATCCATTGTTATCACCATTGATTGTGCGGGGCCTTTGTTCATTGTTTGGGAGCAATTCGTAGTTCAACCATGCTGTTGTTATCAGCAACAGTATGGTGTTATATCTCGGTGATATGTGAAGAGACACTATTCAGAGATTTTATTTTTGAGTCTAACTAAAGTAAGCAACAGAAGTGTCTTTATCAACTGTAGCGTTCTCTATAGAAGCATTTTCTCTCTGTGCCTGCTAAAAATGTTGTTGAATATTTTGAAATGGTAGCTATTCCAAGTTGAACATAACAATAAACATTTTATTAGGCATCCTTAAAGTTTAGCTTGGTTTTGTTCTTTGGAAAATTTACTAACTCAGCTGTCTCAGAAACCACTGTAGGATAGAGTAGGGCAGAGTAAATGAATGCCTTATAGAGCAGGAGCACACAGTACTCCTGCACAGTATGGTTTAGTTCTAGCAGCATATAAGAGGAGAGAGGGCAGCACACTTGTTCAGTGACCCCGGGTCAGGAACATGAGTACATTATAAATATACAAGAGTTCCTATTTTCATCTGCGAAAGGCCGATTGCATGGCTTTAAGTATCATTAGAGAAGGGCCTGTTCATATGCAGATGAGTGGTAGCAAACGTAGTTACCATGGAAGTAGGAGCAGATGTTAAGCCCTCCAGTGGGTGTTAAGTGATGGCTGGAATAGAGATGGGGAGAATTTGTTCAATCTATGTTATAAAAGGGAATTTGTACCTGATCCTGGGGGTCTCTTCCACCTCTAAAATTGTATGATTCTATGACCTAATTTGAACTTCCCAGACCGATACACGGACCCATGGGTTGTAACACCAAGTGTCCTTTTAGATGGTACAAATCGTTGGATTTTGCAGTACTGAACAACAACAAAAAAGTACTGGGTTCCAGTGTGGGTGGGTGTTTGAGGATGAGCTCAATGGAGCAGCAGCTGTATTCCCCAAATATCATGAAATGAACATGTATCAAGACCTGGAATCCTGTGTCCTGAGTCCATTTTCTTACACCAACTGGAACCTTTCGACACTCCTCTTCCAACAGAGGTCCAGAGGGCTCACACAATGAACAAATATGTTGGAATAGATTTAGGGTAAAACCAAGAGTCTAGAAATGCTTGTTGCTGTTGTTTTATTTAAAACAACACCCTGCTTTAACTGACTGGGGAATTCTTGCAGCTGTCATTGGAAAGCAATTTTCCAAAGCTGTAGGTAGAATATATCTGAACCTGATACAGATCAGAAATAAACTAATTCATTTAGGCTATGAAGAATAAGGATTTCAAAGATACCATTGAAGCCAAACACTAGAAAAACAGTCACTTCTTTATTATTTCAGGAAATTTAGTGATTAACAAAATTTTGATTAACAAAATTCAGAATTTAATCTCACATATATTGTTTTTAAACTCATGCTTCACCATTCAAGAGATGCCTGCTGAAAAATCTTCTCAGCTGGCTCTTCCTAGTGAAACTAGAGCTATATGTTGCAGTTCTATACAGAGACCAACCACTACTACAGGTACAAAAAATAAGTGCTTTTATCCACACACTTTTTAATACTGTTTCTGTGTCATTGGCACTTGTTTTATCTCACTGTCTATAAATACCTTTGTGGTATTTACAGGAGTACATAGTTTACAAAGAAAAGTGGGAAACAATTTCAACCAAAGAAAAAATATTTTCCATTAACATTAGATGTTAACACTTTCTATTAACAATAGTCTTCAGTCTTAAGCCTTCACAAATACAGTCTTAAGTAACTTTTCAGAAATATATGTTTAAGAAATGTACATTTAACATTAGATATTAAGATTTTCTAACGTTTTCTATGAACTTTTCAGAAGTGTATATTTAACAAAAGTGATTTAGTTTGAAAGCATACAAGGATGCTCCATTAAATCAGATCTCACCATAACAACCTTCGTGACACAGAGTATCAGCTCACCATTGGATATTTTCAGAGCTTGGAAAATTACTTTTTTAAAAAAAATGGTTAGATAAATCATCCTGAAATTTATAAATAAATTGCAGTTAACTTTGCCAGAATTTTAAAGGTATCTGGTTACACGAGTTGTTACTTTTCTGTTACTTTGGAGGAAAAGAAAGTCCATTAAGAACGGTAAGAAAATGGTACAAGATTTGAAAGAGAAAAAAAACATAAAAAAAGAATTTGCCCTCATAAGACTAGTCTGAAAAATATAATGAGTAAATATTACATAGAAAAGATTAGTTTTAAATGCAACTATATGCATCATTACACTCAATAGAAATATGTCACTGGTAATGCTGTTACATATAACTCGTTACTTCTACCCCCCTCAATCCTTTTTCTATGCCACTGCAAGTACAAAGCCATTACCTCTAACATCGAGCTGGCACAGGGAGTAACTCCCAATCAATGTGATGATTCCACGGCCCACAATGAATGCCCCTTGCAAGGACAAAACAGTCTTCAGATAATCACAGAGAAAGGTGCGCTGGTCCTGCAAAGCACGGATGGGATGATTACTTAGTATAGGAGTGTGCAGCTTGTGGCCCTCCTTGATGTTGTGGACTACTGCTCCCGTCAGCCTTTGGCAATGCAGCCTCTGGTGAGGGGAAATGGACGCCACTATCCATCAACTGGGCCAGCAGTTGCCCACACCTAGGTTAGGAAAAAGGAAGCTGCTTTGGAGGTATTATGGCCCAGTTAAAATTCCTGGCATTTTCAACTTGGAAACAAATAAACAAACGAAACGAAACGAAACGAAACAAAAACAAAGACAGGGGAAAAAAATCTCTATCTGAACATCCCTAAGATCCTGTACCAGTTGAATAGATGGCTTTTATTGGACCCAATGATCTGACTTGGTAGCTTGACACCTTCAAAGCTGAGGAGGGGAAAAATAGAGCTGAAGGAACATTATCAACTATTTAATCCCTTGAGTCCAGTGGCTTCAGTGTATGTATTTTTCTCTATTTTGTACAAGTATCAAAACAATGAAATGTTTAAAAAGGCTCCTGAAAGAAAATGCCTGTGGAATTATATTCAGTGCCACCTACTGTCTTTAAGATGAGCAAATCTAGTTGCAAAATGTGATATTTAGTAGTCTGAACAGCATTGGAATAATGCAGAGAGTTCATATTATAGTTATCTGAGGTTGGTTTCTGCTTGCTCCCAGGAGGACTAATGAGAGGAAAACTGCTGTCTGGGATTTATGTTCAGTTTCTATTTTAAATTACATGATAAATCTTTGAGCCTTTAAAATTCTGTGTCTGAAGTGGAGGCATCCTCAAATTGTGACTGTGATTGTTAGTTGACCAGCATTTTTAGCAGTTTAGCAGGGCCTGTGACATCAGCAAAATATCTTGCCATAAGACTCAGCCTGGCATCATAGTGACAGAAGCACTTTGAGTTACCACCAGTGCTTTAAATTTCAAACCACTGGTGGTAACTCAAAGTGCTTCTATCACAATGATACCAGTAGATTTGGGAGTATGTTTTAAACTTTAAAAATTCTCCCAAAGGTACTGTTATTGTTATGGAAGAGTTGGTCAGAGGCTTTCTCTGTTGATCCCTGTCATTAAATTTATAGTTGACACCAGACTTCCTTGCAACTTTATTTGGGGACATCTGTAAAAAGTCTATTTTTATTAGTATTTTTCATCAATCAGTTAGTAGTCTAAAAGATACTATCAGTTACCTCAGTATTTTCTATCTTAGTTACTAGAGATCGTCAAAGGATTACTTTACAAGCTTCACTCTGCAGGGCTTGCAAGAGGCGGACATTGCCTACAATCAATGCTCTTCCTTTGAAAAAAAAAGGAAAAGGAAAAGAAAGATGGGAGACTCTGTTCTATCAGTAAAATCATCTGTTTGCAAGAACTGGACACACATGATAGCCAAGAACATGGATATTCAATAAATGGCACACTGAATCTGTGCCAAAAAGATTGTCTTTACTTTAATTAAAAAATCACTTTGAGATGGCAAGAGTTAGGAAGTGTCTGATCCTCACCTTACCCTCACTCCCCATCATGCTACGGAACTAGAAAAGGAAATCACTGGACTTTCAATAATATGGGACATTTTCCACAATATATTTTACACATAGTGAAAATGAGCAAGGCAGAACCAACACTAGATCGTGCTCAGTAGTGGAATGCATGGGTGATTTTTTTTTTTTTTTGCATTGAAGATGGCTTCTTTACAGCAGTATTTACATTTCGGCTTAATATTCAAAGACACCAAAACTGATTGTCTTTCCCCCAGCTGTTTTACGTCAAGAAAAGGAAGCAATTTATCCTCCATGAAATCCATGCTCAAATCAACCACTGTAAAATAATTTGTTCAATTTTCAGTAAGGACGACTGCTCATAAAAAACAAACAAACAAAAAACACACCACACTGTCCTGCTTAGTGCCAAATGTAATTTTTGTGTAATGAAGGCTTCTTCCTATTTGGCTTAGAAATACACAAAGGGTGAAAACAAAAGCAATATGAACCCAATATTGCAATCAGAAGTGACTTGTGTCATTCACAACCGAGCATAATTTAACACAGTGGACTTTGCTTCTGAGTAAAGATACATAGGATTATGCAGCATAGCTTCCTTGGATATTAAAAGCCATCAACTTCAATATAATTGTTAAAAACACACCCTAAGATCTGAAACTGAAAATGGAAATAAATGTGTTTGTCTTCGAATATCACTGCCCACTTTTATTGAATTCCCCTTCCCAACATCAACAATAGCCACTGTTTTCTTTCAGATTTTTTTTTAAAAACAATGAAACCTGTGATTCTCATAATACTAATACTTTGTACATGGCAGTAATCTTGTTTGTTCCTTTGAAAATCCCTTCTTTTTAAGGCTGCAACCCCATAGACAATGAGCAGGGGAAAAATCATGTGGGGTTTACCTCTGGCTGGATAGGTATGGGTTTCACTACTGTATTAGTTTTCTAGTGCAAAATATGCCCAATCCAATACAGTACAGACTTTTCTGAAAGTCAGTGAATCAGTTTACTTCAATAGAGCGAAGCACATATTTTCTGAAGTTCTATATACTTATCAGGGAACAGGTCCGAAGGAATTCAACAGGATGTAAAACCAAATTGAAATGGATGAAGTATTGAATTTTGTCATGGATTGTAGCCTGTGATTGTCATGGCTTGTAGCCTGTGACACATGAAACCTACTGTTGTTACATGAAAAATGGATTGTAGCCTGTGATTGGAATTAACACACATGAAACCTACTGTTGTTACATGAAATGTGTCTTTCTTTTTAATGTGAATATTTTAAAAAAATAGACACCAAGGGACACGAATAATGCTAACAATGTATCTAATTGTTACATAGGGCCGTGACTGGGACAGCTGTAGAAGGTGAGTTAAACCCTTCCTTTGGGAACTCATGGTCTAAGGAAAGAGCAGATTTGCAGGAAAGATTGCCTTAAACTGGGAAACAAAGGGTGACCCTTAGCCTCTTACTCCCTCAGTGGCCACTGCTGATATTTTAAACAGATATATTGAATGCATTTAAATGTTTTAACATTGCATCTTACTTGTCTGTAAAGCAACAAAGAGTTCTGCGGCACCTTAAAGACTGTCAGGTTTTATTTGGCCTAAGCTTGCATAAGCTGTAGCCCCCACGTCCTCGGATGTGCCGGAAGCATCAGATGAGAGAGACTACAGTCCAGAGAAGAGTACTACCAAATAATACTTGGTAGCCTTACGCCAAAAAAAACTTACAAAACAACAAACACATAACGTATTAGTCTTTCAGGTGTCATCAGAGTCATTGTGGTTTTTGCTTCAACAAGCTAACAGAGCTTTCCTTTTTCAAATTATTATTGGTCCTAAGAATAAAACTTTCATTCCATTACATGCAAGATCCTCAACTGTATAAAATGCTTTACAGAAGAAAGGGAATAAGAGAAATATAATAGTTTCACAGCTTCCAAAGTATTTACACATTTAAAAAATACTATTGAAAATGGCCACCGAGGCTCATTGTTCATAAACACAAACCAAACAATGCACCTTTTCTTCTCCTCATACTCTGAGTATCAGAAAAACATTTGAAGGCTTCAAAAACAGGTATCTATGCCTATCATTATTTATCATTATTACATTGTTAATCCAAAAGCAAAGAAATCCCCAGCCATGCTGTATCAGAATCTGCCCAATTATTAATTCTAAATCACTGAACTTAGCTTAATCATTAGCCTGATGTAGCCCCTGCCACACCTTGATTAAAGCAAGGCAGAGGGTGGGGGGTAGAACACTGCTTTAAATATAGAGGAGTATCTTTTTAAAAAGCTCCATATCCGTCACTCCGTGTAGCTACTGCAAATGCTGGATAGGCTTCATATGCTGTGTAGGTTGCCAAATCTTGTCCTAGAGTCACCGCTTGCTTGAGCTGAGTGGCTGCCACCGTAGCAGCTGCGTTAGGAATGTATCCTGTGATGAAATGCAGAAATAAGATTAATTTAGCACAGCTGCTGAGACTGGCAATAATTCTTGATTTATATTTTTGAGAATGACAAAAATGCTGGTTTCTAAGTACTCTGAACTGAGTGTGTGGTTTTGGCCATATTTGTCTATTTGTCTAACTAATAATAGATTTGTAAGACAGACAGAGAGAGAGAGAGAGAGACTGTGTGTACATCTTAGTTATTTATTTATTTGCTTTCTGTCCTATCTTTTTCCCCAAACTGGTACCCAATATATGGAGTGGACAGTACATATACATATAAGAATATTACAGGCCAAATATATGACTATTTGAGTTCATGAGAAATAAAAAACCTCTACTACTTATATTCTATTCTCTCATTGCTATGACTATAATCTTCCACTTGTTTACATGGGTTTACATATCTTCTGAGTGGATGTGTATAAATCTGTGCTTTACATTTTATTTTAAAAGAATAAATATATGGAAACAGAACTGGGCCCTGTCTGGCCAAGTTATTTTGAGGCAGAAAATCTCACATAATGCCTCTCCCTGAGATTGAAATTACAGGAAATTGAAATAAATTAAATGCAACGCAAACAAATAGTTTTTAAAAACTTACACCCCAAATCAAGTGTATGGGGTAGGAAGCCGAGACTCGTGGTAAGGCCAGTTTTTCAGCTCAGGGAACACTAAATATGAAAGATGGTGCTTTGATCGAAAATTCTGCTCTAATTCTGAAGTACCCAGTTGTGGCAGTAGATTATCTCAGCTGCCTCACCTGCCTCAGTTCGCCTCTAGATGGGTTGCTTCAGTGAATCCCCTTGGCCGCTTCAATGAATCCTCATTCTCAAAATCAATGAGATTTCAAGGCATGGTCATTGCTTGCCTTTACATTTTAGAGGCAATGAAGAGCCAGTAACTTGGATTCCAAGAAGTACTTTGATCATTTCCTTCACATGTGAGTAGAAAGGCAAAGCCTGACTAATCGTGGTTTATGTAGAACATTACACTGGAACAGGTAACACAAATTTAACACTATGAAAAGTGAATTGACCTTGGCTAGGAGTGAAGGCCTACTGACAAAAGCGGGGGCTGTGAAAGGAGGAAATGGATTAGTGAGAAAGTCAGAGTTAGGTTTGTTCACTGTCATTCACCTCTCATGCTATACAGATGGGTTTGAGATCCTTCAGATTGGGGCAGACTGTCATCAAGGAAGGAAGGGTAAATTCTCCCACACACAAACTGGGCACCCTAATCAAAGCTCTACCCCAAATGTTCAGGGTACTCTTTCCTCTCTGCATTATAGCATTCAAATGGGACCTCCCAAATCTCTGTGTACTGTTGGGGAGGGAGCTAAAGGGATTTCAGTGGGGAGATGAGGGTGGGGAATTCTACTTCCATCAGCCTTAATTGCATTAGCCTAAATCTGGATTCAACCCAGCATACAGTATGTGTTCGTCTAATAGTACTGGGAAGATGACATCTTTCCCAGATGTATCTTAAATACTTTTTTTCAATTAGCTTTGTTTCATCAATGAATATCCAGACATCTCCCCTCCAGAGGGGGAGAGGGGGAGCCTTTGCTTAGAAGGATGCATATTATATTAATGCTGGCTCCCCTAAGAGGCTGCAGGATTACTGGACAGCCAGAGATACCTGAATTAGAATACACAAAATGTATTTCTCAGCCTTCTAAGCAATAATATAATGGTAGGTGAAGGTCATTATAATTAAGCAGTAAGTGGCACTGAGTTCAATAAAACATCAGTGTGTCTTATGTAATGCGGAAGCTTGAACAAGCCTAGACAAATTGATTTTTCTCTGTGGCAGGAAGCTAGATGGATTTTCATTTCTTTAAAAAAGTCTTGAAGTTCCTGAATGATTCCATATTAATCAACCCAAGTGACCAGTGGAGACTTCCAGTAATGTAAAAGAAAGAAAACAACTTGAAAGAAGAATAAAAGCAGTGCCAAAAGTTTTATCATTTGAGTTTACCATGTGCCTTAATACAGTTTGGCCCAGGATGAGTATTCTTGGCAGGGTTAAGGGCCAATATTCTGCCCTGAGATAATTTAGAGGGTGCAGGGACCATCAAATATGTGAAAAATGAGAGGAAAGACAAGGAACTGGAAATGCACACAAGTCCACTTCTGGTTTTGAAAGATACATACCTGGCCTACATAGAATCCCCATCATTCTGCTTTTCTTTTAGGATGGCAACAGGGGCAAAGAAAAAAATTATGGGAACAAAAATACCAGCATATTTTAATTTAAAGATGTTATTCTGAGCAGCAAAGCTTTGGAGTGGCATTTCAATTTTTTAGAAGCCCCCCCCTCCCCCGAAACCACCAAATGATATTTTTATGAAGAAGAGGGCATGGTTTTCTGGTGAAGCCCATAGAACAGGATTCAGAACCTAGGCTGGCTGGATTTGCCTGCAGAACCTGACGTTTATATCACTGTACTTGTTGCTACCCCTCATTCTTCTAATTCACTTCCAAAGAAGGACAATCTTATCCCAACTTCTGTTTATGAGCCATTTGTCCCTGAACTCTCCTCACGGTGGTCCTAACAATGCCTCAGGTCTTTTCCTACCTCTTTCCTACTTTTCAGTCTCCTTTTCTTTCTATAGTGCTCACATTCCACTCACCCTTCCCATTTCACATTATTCTGGACAGGTCCTAAACCTTTCAAATGGCTATCGAGAGGGTGCAGAGAGCTACAGAAATGGGAAACTCTCCTTCCATGTACTTGCTTAAGTTAACATATCTTTGCAGCCAAGCCAATGACTGCACAACTTTTACATACCTGGAAAAGCTGCTGTAGCCGCAGGTGTCTCTGTACCCTCTGTGGGAATGCCCAATATCTGCAAAGTATATTCTGCTGCATATGTTTTGGCTTCATCTACATATGCACTCAGCTTAGGTGGTGTGAAGGGATGCCTGCAAAGTAAGTTACATTTTTTAAAAAATCTATTTCATTTTCCTATGATACACATCTTGGGAAGCATACTTTGCATTCCTTGAAGAAAAAGAAATAACAACATATAATGGAATGATTTTGTTTTATTTCTTGAATTAATTACTATCTACCCCATGGGTCACAACCTTTGTCCTATACCTTGCCCTAAACCTTGGATTTCAGCTCCCGGAAGCCTTAGCCAACATGGATGGCCATCAGGTATCCTGACTGTCAAAATTGTTAGAGGACCAAGGGCTGAGAACTACTGCCCTATCCTTACTTCCCATCACAATAACAATATTACAGTGGTGCCTCACTTAACGACGATAATCTGTTCCAGGAAAATCGCCGTTAATCGAAAACATTGTAAAGCAAAAATAAAAACCCCATTGAAATGCATTCAAACCTGTTCAATGCGTTCCAATGGGGTAAAAACTCACCGTCCAGGGATGATCCTCCATACGGTGGCCATTTTTGCTGCCTGTATAGTGAGGAATCCGTCCCTAAATACAGCGGGGAGGCATTTTAATCCCCTGGTGGCCATTTTGAAACCACCGATCAGCTGTTCAAAAAACATCATTTTGCGAAGAATCAGTTCCCGAAGCAGGGAACTGATCATCACAAAGTGAAATTCCCCCATTTAGACCATCGTTTTGCGATCGCAATTGTGATTGCAAAAAGATCGTTGTTAAGTGGATTCGTCGTAATGCAGGGCAATTGTAAAGCGAGGCACCACTGTATAGGATGGCTGAAATTATATTGTACTTGACATAGTGTAAAGTTCATGCCTGCAGAGCTTCACTGGGTGTGACACCCAGGCAGTTCACATTGTATGCCTGATGGTGTGACTTGATTAGGCAGTCAATTGCTCAACTGTGTCTGCAGAAATGCTCGCTCGATTTAACTTCCCCCTTGGTCCAGATTTCATAACTGTTTTCACAGCTGTCAATTATGCAGGTGTAGTGGCACAACAGCATCCTGGCCAATAAATAATAGGGATAATTTTTAAAAACACATAAGAAATAATGATGAAATGGATGTTAAATACAAAGCACGTTTTAAAACACTACACCTAAAATAAATTAGAAATAAAATCGGAAACACAATGGTAGCCCATAGCCAGCAACTACCTAGTTACCTTCTTCAACAACAGACCACATTACAGTACTTTCCAAGGGCCTGCCTGAATAATCCCACCTAACCTTATGCTTATAACAGTATTAAGCAAATTCAGATTGGGACATCTTGAACTATACATTTTGAACATCCCCAGCCCAAAGATTTCACCAAGCAAGTGCCATCATTACGTACATTGCAGGATTTTGACTGGCAAGGGCAGGAATAGTGATTTTATACAAGAACAATTGTCTTTGGTCTTGTCCAATGGCAGAATGAAGCTGATAGACAGGCTGTCCCCAGTTATTCTTCTGACAGATCTCTTCCAGGATCTAAATTGAGGGAAAAGTATTTAGTGAAGTTGAAACGTCTACTTTGTGTCTCAAAAGTCACTGTCTACCTTTCGAAAACAAATACACAAACAAACCAGGCTGTACTGCCAAGACATTTTGGTGTACCGATGTTGTTGTTATCACAGTTTAGGACCTGGTAAAGCTACATTTTTGAACTACATCTCCCAGAATCCCAGTGGCCATGCAGGCTGGGGGATTCTGGGAATTCAAAAACCACCTTTTCCAAATATCACTTCATGATATCTTCAGCTGGTGCTTTCTTCTGGGTACTTCATCGGGTAGCATTGAGAGACCAGATTTTTTCTATGCTGTCAGCTTGTATGTGGAACATCTTTCCCAGAAATCTTTGTCTGGCACCCATCTAAATAAATCAAAATGATTTTCATGCACTTTGGGATAGTGGCACTGAAATATTTTTTTTCATCTCTATTGCTACCGCTAATACACAGTTGATTGCTATTTATATCAGTTGAGAGTCATTTATTGCCTTTTGATGGCCAGTATATTAATTTATATAGTATACTGGCCACGTATATTACATACATGAATATGTATAGAATCAAGCATTGGGATATCTCCTACCAACTCCCTTCTATGACTCTGGAAATCTAAAATGTCCCATCCTGATGCATGAGGATTAAGAGGGCTGTTTCAGCTAAAGAAATAGCTCTGGGAAACTGAGCAGAAGAAGCCAATAGTCAAACATATAGAAGAATAACAGATGTAAGAACAAAACGATGAGCCTCCGTAATGATTTTTTCCTTCATATCTAGAGGGAACCAAAAGATATATGCAGTAGTTTAAGAGGCGAGATGTTTTCTTCTAAATGGGTTCGACCTACCTGTGGAGCAAGTTTAATTCCTTGAGGTTTTAAGCTGACATGATTCATTGGCGTAAGCTCCATTCCTGGCAAAAGGTCGTACAGTTTGTCCTCGCCTCTTTTCTCTCCTTTGAGCTGGTACCCACGACCCAAGGCAGGATTAGTCAGGTAGCCACGACCTCCTAGTCCTCTAACTCCAGCAGCCCCTACAGGTACATTCATGTAAATTTCTAGGAATGTAAGAAGGCATTAAACTGAATCAAATCACAGGAAAATCTCCCTGATTTTTACTGTATTGGAAGACGTAACACCACACACCAACACTTGACACAGAAATCAGGGTGGGGTGGGCGAGCAGGCGAGAGTTAAAAAAAAAAACAACGATTCAGTTCCATTAGTGGTGGCCCGACTTGCTGTTACTATTCAGGATGCAGTTGCCCAGTTCAAGCAACAGGTTTTTGCAACACTGAAAAGCAGAGTGGCAAAATATTTCGTTAGATTTTCCACCAAAGGCGCCATCATTTCTTGCGCTGTCTCTACTGCTCCGTGTTTATTGAACATAATTCACTGAAAAGGAGCAATGCGCTGAGCACAAAATCCCTTTATTGCCTTTCAAGTGCAGGGCAATAATGCTCATGGATATGTGCAAGTACCGTCGGAACCATATTGTTCCAACTTTGATTGCACCTTGAGGGCATTTGGTTATTTTTAGTAGCTGCAGTAATTTCAGCTTGCCCAGTTCAGGCATCCTCAATTCTTTGTTTCAAAAAATGCCTCCTTCTAGAAAACATGTGAGCCTGAGGACCATAGCCTGCTGCAATGTATGCCCACAGATTTATCCTTCCGAAAGTGTCACTTCTACACAGAATTCCAGCCACACCCTTATTAATAGAAGGCAAGTCTTGTCTAATTTTCATTTTGTGAAGTGCCTGAAAATGCAGGGGTTGAAGAACATGTATTAATTCTAACTTACTGACCCCCTCACCTTCTTCTCTGTCCAGCTTAAAATGAGTCTTGGCATTCAATCAAATTCAAGTACAGATTACTTTGATGGTGGGGGCATTTCTGAACTGATTTCCATTTAATGGATAAAGAACAATCACTACAAATTAGATGGTCATCATTCACAGCCGTAAATGCCAGCCCGTCTGTGTTGGTGTGTGTATTTGAGCCCAGTTTTCACCCTTAACATGGGTGCTTTTCTGGCCTCATTTCTATGACATTAGGATTGTGTTTGCTAAAGACTTTTGGGATGATTCACACCTTCACGTAGATCATTTTTGTTGTGCTAGCCACAGATTTCTCAACATTTCATGACACATACAGTAGTTGGATGTACACACTGAATACAATGACAGGAAGTGATACAAAAGTTCTGTCTCGGTGTAACATTGTCTGCCTGTGATGACCCATAAACACATCACTTAATAATCTGATGCTGCATCTAAGGAATCAAATGTTTCTCCTGGAACATTCCTAATCTTTTACAGTACATCAAGGACAAACAAGTGGAATGCTGACTGTGATCAAGATGTGCCTGTCTGCTTTGTTCCTTTACCAAACCATTTACAAGTCATGATCCATCAACCCATGTGAGATGAGTTAAATTCTACATAGATGAAGTATAGAAGCAGCCACAGATATTGCCTTTACTGGATGTTGGCTGAGAACTATTTGTAACAAAATCTTAGTCATACATTAAATCATATTATGGCTGAAATCTGGCAGTAAGTCATAACTAGAGTAAACTCAGCAAATCAATGGAACTTACATAGGTGTTGATTCACCAAGTCTCCATTGATTCAATGGACTTACTTTCATTTCAACTAAGTCTGCAATTGCATTGACAAATACTTTAAAGATTGCTCTGAAATTTGCACAGGTGAATTTGAAGTATTTTTCTGTGATGACACAACACAACAACCAGTACAAATCAGCCTGGCTTTTTTTTGCTTAGGATATAGAGGTTTTTTTCTCCTGTGTCTGGGGGCTTCTATTTTTTTAAAGCTGGAATGATTCAAACAGTGTTTTCTAGGTGTAATCATTTCTATCTTTCTACAAAAGTACAAAGGACATGACTCTGGCCGTTGTGGTGATGTATTAAGCTGGGGCATGATATTTTGGGATATCAGATGATCTTTTGGGATATCAGGAATACCCATATACAAAATCTTTCTCCTTAGTCAACTCAAAGTATTTATTTTTATTTTTAAAAAATAACTACCAAGTTTAGCACTAGATCACCTTATCACTGCATTGATACATTAGTTTAGCACTAGATCACCTATACACAGATTTTAAAAAGATTGCAAAGGAGAACTGGGGTTCACCAGGTGGGTGGTATCAAAGAAGGGGGGGCATGGTTTGTGAGTGCATATCAAATCAGAATAAGGGCCAGTGTGGACATTGGCACTGCAGCAATTTTTGGTCTTCATGAGATCACCAAAAATGAATGCAACTACAAAGGAGAGTGTGAATCAGGCTGCACCAAAGAGGAATCACTCTAATTATGTTTGTCAGTGTAGCTGTACCCTTAGTACTGGATTTCAGCCATAAAATCATTGAAGACTTTTTTGGGATCCAGTACTATTCTCATTTGATTAAAACTGACATATTATTAATTAGATGCACAAGTATTTTATATATGGAGCTTAGGAAGCAAGACCATGAAGATAAAGAGATGGTTTTGTTTATGTAACATAGAAAAATAAAATAAAGCAAGCTAGAAGGACTCATTTGAATAATCAAATGAGAGATGTACCCATTTAAGGAGGAGTAAAATGACATGAATCAACTTAGTGACGGCATTGCTTTTTCTACTGCTTGCCCAAATTTGAAACTGCCATTGTCTTGACTCTTGCACAATAAATATGGGTTTGTTTATATATTCAGGGTACACCCAGCTTCTGCCACATGGTGCCCTCAGGACAGAAATTTGAAGACAAAATTTGATGATTCCTTCAGAGTGAAAAGAAAGGCCACCAAAAGCATCAAGGCTGGCTTCCCACATTTGGAAGAAGTAGAATAACACACAGCATCATCCTAAAAAGAGGCTCCTACAAGGCTGTTAAATCCTGAGTATGAACTAACTCCACCGCTTATGTCACAGTGTGGACCCCCACTGCCATCTACATAGTTAAATTGTTGATAAAATAGATGAAATAACAACATAGGCCACCTTGTCATGAGTTTGAACTGTTTCTGGCGCTTAGAAATTTTAGTTTACAATTCCCAGAAACCCTTGGCCTGGAGAATTCTAAGAGCCGTAGTTGTCAAAAATTACATTTGTGAATTCTTTTAGTTTCTAAGCATAATTCCAAGCACTGAAGAACATCTTCAAACTCCAACATGGATTTGTGCCTGCAAGAATGCTGGTTGCAAACTGCCTATACACTGAGGTCAATTACAGAACTCCTCTGGATACTGTCACCCTCATTGCCACCACTGCATGAGGCAAGACTGGTGTTAAAAAATTTACCTCGAATAGATGGAGGCCTAAGAATGCCCCGGTTGGCAAGATGCCCTTTAGCAGCAGGAAAAGGAAGGTTAGGAATAGCAGCATAGGCTTGAGGTGCATAGAATACTGGAGCACCCAGGTAGGCCGCAGCAGGGTCATATACATGCCCAAACGTGTAGGTATATTCTGGCAATATTGTTCCTCTCCCTCCTGTGCCTCTGGTGTATCTGACGTAGCTGTCTTTGTCTACTGGTTTGGCTAATGTGACTTCAATGGGAGAGCCATCCAGTACCTTAAAAACAACAAGAGACACATGAGGTGTGTGAGAGAAAGAAGGTTCATTGGTACATAACAGACAGAACTGGCTCCACCAATACACAGAGTGAGGCAGACATTTCAGGCAGAGGGTGCTGAAGACTATGGAATAGACAGGACTGTATGTGCCACATGAGCTGTTCTGTACCCCTTCAATTTCCCTGCTGCTCTCAAGTATATTGAAAGATGCAGTTCTGTGTCCAGTATTGAGATAAGAGACAATTGCTGGTCTGACCCACTTTTGTGGAATCAGGGAGGAGTGGGAGAGTTGGCAAGGCACCATCTTGTTGTTTCCGGCAACCAAATCATCTGGGTCAGCCCTGAGAAAAGTCTGTATTTTAATGACAGATGCTAAAGCCCAACATACAGTACATCACAGAAGTGAGTACACCCTCTCACATTTCATAAATATTTTAGTATATCTTTTCATGTGACAACACTGAAGAAATGACACTTGGCTACAACATAAAGCAGTGAGTATACAGCTTATATAACAGTGTAAATGTCCTGTCCCCCCAAAATAACATAACACACAGCCATTAATGTCTAAACCACTGGCAACAAAAGTGAGTACACCCCTAACTGACAATGTCCAAATTGGGCCCCAGTAGCCATTTTCCCTCCCTGGTATCATGAGGCCTGTTACTGTCACAAGTCTCAGGTGTGAAGGGAAGTTCCACATGGCACCTCATGGTCATGAATTATCTGAGGATCTGACAAACGAATTGTTGCTCTACATAAAGATGGCCTAGGCTATAAGAAGATTGCCAAAACCCTGAAACTGAGCTGCAGCACGGTGGCCAAGACCATGCAGTGGTTTAACAGGACAGGTTCCACTCAGAAGAGGCCTTGCCATGGTTGACCAAAGAACTTGAGTGCCCATGCTCAGTGTCATATCCAGAGGTTGGCTATGGGAAATAGACGTATGATCCCTGCCAGCATTGCTGCAGAGGTTGAAGGGGTTGGAGAGCAGCCTGTCAGTGCTCAGACCATACACCATATACTGGATCAAATTGGTCTCTGGGCTGTTGTTCCAGAAGGAAGCCTCTTCTAAAGATGATGCACAAGAAAGCCCACATACGGTTTGCTGCAGAGAAGCAGACTAAGGACACGGATTTCTGGAACCATGTCCTGTGGTGCGATGAGACCAAGATAAACTTCTTTGGTTCAGATGGTGTCAAGCGTGTGTGGCGGCAACCAGGTTAGGAGTACAAAGAGAAGTGTGTTGTGCCTATAGTCAACAGTCAAGCATGGTGGTGGGTGTGTCATGGTCTGGGGCTGCATGAATGCTGCCGGCACTAGGGAGCTACAGTTCATTGAGGGAACCATGAATGCCAACATGTACTGTGAAGATACTGAAGCAGAGCATAATCCCCTCCCTTTGGAGACTGGGCCGCAGGGCAGTATTCCAACATAATGACCCCAAACACATCTCCAAAATGACCACATCAAAATGACCACTAAAGAAGCTGAGGGTAAAGGTGATGGACTGGCCAAGCATGTCTCCAGACCTAAACCCTATTGAGCATCTGTGGGGCATCCTGAAATGGAAGGTGGAGGTGTGCAAGATCTCTAACATCCTCCAGCAATGTGATGTCATCATGGAGGAGTGGAAGCGGACTCCAGTGGCAACGTGTGAAGCTCTGGTGACCTCTGTCCCCTAGAGGGCTAAGGCAGTGCTGGAAAATAATGGTGGCCACACAAAATATTGACACTTTGTGCCCTCCCTACAATACAATGTCATCTATACTGTGCCTGTTGTACTTCATACTTGTGGCACTGGAGATCCATTGGTCATGGTCCCATGTAACAGCAGGTATATGAGGAAATAACTCTAGAAAGCTTCTAATCACACACAGAACCCTGAAAGTACAAGCAGTTTCTATGTCAGCACCATTGACTTTGACATTCCTGCTACAGATACTCTCCATGAAATTGGGGCCTTCTGTACCATAGTTAAATACTACAAGACCATACTTAAAAGAATACTTCCTTATATAACAGTGCTCCCTACAATACAATGTCATCTATACTGTGCCTGTTGTACTTCATACTTGTGGCACTGGAGATCCATTGGTTATGGTCCCTTGTAACAGCAGGTATATGAGGAGTTAACTCTAGAAAGCTTCTAATCACGCACAGAACCCTGAAAGTACAAGCAGTATCTATGTCAGCACCATTGACTTTGACATTCCTGCTACAGATACTCTCCATGAAATTGGGGCCTTCTGTACCATAGTTAAATACTACAAGAAAGATTTCCCTGAGACATGTTTGCCATCTGAAGCAAACTAGCAAATGGTACTCCTCACCTATTCAAGTTATAGAACATTGTATTCAAAGCCACCAATATCCTTAGTTCCTGAGGCAAAAAAAACTCCTTCAGATACCTCCCCCTATCTGGATCAGGGAAATACCACAACTGTGAATTCTAGAACAATTTGTTCCCTCTCTTGACAGACATAATCTGTTTCCTGAGGTGGCTACTATTTTCTAGCATCACTGCAGTTGGCTATCTGGAGATTCCATGTGATGACTGAAAATGTTTTGAGAGAAGGGAAGGAGGCAAGTCAGAACACAGAACCTTATAAAACAAAAACACCCTGTATGGTTCTCATGCAAAATAAAAAACACACAGAGGTGGACAGTACCCCTACTGGACCACTAATATCTCAAAACTATCATGTTTTTGAGGTATTAGAGTTCTCATAAATGTGTATCAACAGCCCTTGCTTTTGACAAAAATGGATTGTTATTCCTCAGAACAAATTGCACCAAGTGGAATGGTTTATGTTTGTACGTACTTCCTATTTGAACATTTATAGAAATACAAATAGCGGCCATCCTTTTAGTCTTACTGTAATTGTGTGGCAGGGAGGCATCTCAAGAGACAATAGACTGTATCTGTGACAAAAAAAATCACTGCAGTGTATGCCAAAACCATTCAGGTCAAACCCTCTGGCAAGACTTCTGATATTAATGCTGCATTATTTTGATTTACACACACATACACATGGGCACAGCAGTTTGAAACCTTTCAATGCCATATATGTGCAACTCTTTCCATGCCTTCCAGCAAATACAAAACTAATCCAGCATTACCTTCCCATTTAAGACTTTCATGGCTTCCAGTGCATCTTCCCGGTTATTAAAGTGCACAAATGCATAGTCTCTGATTTTCTTTACTCGTTCCACTGACCCTGTAAAACAAATTTGGAGATTAGGTCTGCCATGGATATTGCTAGAGCGAAAAATAAGCACTCCTCCTGTTCTGCCCTTAGGTATTGATCTTCTATACTTATTCAATATTTTATTATTATTATTATTTTACAGTAAATATTAGGTCCTGGCACTACAGACCGCAAACTATTTAGCTGCTCTATTTGTATTTATTTATACTGGGTAAGAAATCTGCAGTTTTGTGTTTCTTCTTATCTGTTCATCTGCCTGTCACTAGTGTATGTTGCTAGAAAGGGGTATGATGTCAGGGACAACATCTTTCCAAGAAGAACATCCAGCATACACAGAGAGCATGTTGCCTGGATCGCTGAAGTAGTTGGATTGCTTTTGGATTTCAACTCGTGGGCAATTAACATAAGGAAGACTTGGGTTCAACATATAAGTAAACAACAACTATATTATGTCTGAATTCCTGTCGGTTAGCATAGCAAGTCACGACTATAGTAGCCTATTGAGTCAATGGATTTGGTGAAGCAAAGAGGTTTCACTTATTCAATAGGCCTGCTCAAGTTCCGGCTTACTAAATTGAGCAACAAGATTTCATTCTATAAGAACTTGTTAAACATTTCTGCATAAAACCAAGGTCATCCTCAATGAGGATGATGCTTCCTAGGGAAATCAAATGAAACTGGCTCAAAAAAACCCAGGATGAACCTTCAGAATATGGGAAATATCACTACGAACAGAGGCTCTTCAATTAACAGTACGTCAAGAAACACAAAGAAGCATCTGGCTTTAAAGAAGTATAGAACGTAACTAGACAGACCCAGAATTTTCCTGGCCTCTTTCTATCCGAAAGAGAAAGCATTTCCCTTCACATGGATGGGCAATTGTAACCTTCCATATATATTTGAACAAAAAAGACCTTTCATATTTTCACTCCATGATTTTGGCTGCCTTGATTATGCCCAGACACCCTTTCTATGTATTGGAGCACATTCTCTTCATTGCTGCTGATCTATTTGCCCAAGCCCAAGATATGTTGTCACCTGAGCCAAACAATGTGGTTATGCTGCTACCCTATTTGACCTACAGAAATAAATCAGATTGGCAGTTGAATCTTAATTAAGGTGTTTTTTTCTCTTTTTGTTCTTCTTGTTGTTGTATTTCAATTCTCAGAATGCTCCAGCCAGCAGGCTGGCCATTTCGCACCTCTGACTTCAGCTTATCTCAGGGACTGTAGAATAGATTATGTAATGCACACATAGCTCTGTCAGAAAAATGTCCAGGAAATGCAGGAGAAATACTTGAGGCATTCTACTACCTGAGATAATTGCTTCACCCCACCAGCCTTGACTTCTCCTCTCTTTTTGGGCCTTGTCAGCAGTACTGCCCAGAAAACAAGGGCAAGATGAGGCTGCTGCTTCTTGCTGCTTTCACTTCCCCCTTTCTTAAGGAAGGCAGCACAGCAAAGAAAAAGAAGGGGCCAGCGGCCTTCTAGGAGCTTGGCACAAATGGTCCCATTCTGAGGAGAGAGGCAATCTTTTCTGTTGTCCAGTGGTACCAATCTGTCACATTGGCCATGGCTTAGACATTGTCTAACTTTTAACTTGTTGCTGAGCTGTAGAAGATAAGGAACATAAATCCACGCAAAATGTAATATTGGATAATCATGCATACATCTTGAAGAAAAAAAAGGGTTGATTGAAAAAGTCATCTGAAGGAAGCTATATGTTTAATGAAGAGCACAGATTTCAGAATAATTGCTTTGCTTATTCTGTTTCTGTATCCCAGTTTTGGGCCTATAACAAGCCACCGGAGAATTGTTCAGTTTTGAGTGTTGTGCACTGGAACTGAGGTCTTAATGCCTGGTAATTTCCATTTTGATGGATGAATACACTGTTGATTTAATGTGTAATATTTTATGATATGCTTTTTGGGGACTTCAGTGTGCTAAAATGTCAGCTGAGACAGTGTGTTTGCATAGCAGCAGCAACAACAAAGGCAACAACAGCAAAAAGAATTTGGCTTTCTTCCAAGCATACATTATTGAATATGTTGAGTTCTAGCTGGTTTAGTTCTTCGATGGCCCCAGAAGGGAACAGTAAAATACTTCTGAGTACTCTCTACCTTGAAAACCCTGAAACGGGTCACCATAAATCAGAACTGACTTGACTGTACACAATTATTATTCTTACTATTTTTGTTTTGTATATTTATATTTCACCTTTCCTCTTATAGTTCAAGGCAGTTTATAAAATTGTAAAATATGACAAAATAAAGACAGTAGTATTAAAACAACAACAAAAACCCAAAAACCAGAAATAGCATAGTTGCAAACATGATAAAATAGAGTCATTGTTCACCTCCAAGATGTCCCAACATTGAACTGATTGCTAAATCATGATGTAATATAGTTCCCAGAGGACATTCTGCTACTGGGACCCTGCAGGCACCCAAGCTGCCCTGGACTTCCAGGAGGAGAGGCACGATGTAAATCAGATCAAATTTCCCCACCATCATAATCACCAGTGACAACAGGACTTTGCAGTAATAAAGAGAAAAAGAAAGACCCCAACCACCTCATACTAAAGACAAGATTATAGTACCTGATAAAATATCTTAAGATTCCACCCCAGGATTTGTTTAATTTTTTTTCTTTAATTTTATTTGATATTTTCAGTGCATCGGATTCCACCCCAGGATTTGTTTGATTTTAATTTTATTTGATATTTTCAGTGCATCTCAATGACATCCTGAAAGAAGACTGAGCAAATACTTTAGCTGAGCACTGAAACGGACATGAGGGAAAGTGGAAATTCATGGTGAGCAACTTGTGGCCCTTCAGATGTTCATAGACTACAACTGCTACTATTGCTGGTCAGCATTAGCCATGGTGAGGAATGATGGTAATTGCAGTCCCTAGAACATCTGGCAGGCTACAAGTTCTTCACCCCTCAAAAAATAGTTTCATGTGGGAGAAAGCAGCTGACCCAACAGCTTTAAAGATCATAATCAGACATTTGAGTTGAGGCCAGAAACAAATACTTAGCACAGTTGTTTCAACCACAGGCAACATTCCCTTAACACTCAGTTAAGTGACTGACTGCTGCATTTCAAACAAAATGGAGCTTCTGGGCAGCCCCTTGTATAGATTGTTGCAGTAGTCCAGTCATGATGTAAAACTCAGTAAAGAAGAACCTCTGAATTAAGAACTTGTGTTTTTAGATCAAGCAGAGGCTGAATCCTTATTTCTACATTGGTTGTTGTGTCCAGATGCCCTTCTTTTCTTGTTTGGATAATGGTTTAGTTTGTTAGTCCATTACTGATTCTTCCCTGAAATATTATCTTCTTATTGGTAGTATTGAACTTTGTCTCCACATGACCTCTCCCTGTGGTTTTACACAGATTCAATGTGTGGAAGCTGGGTTTAGTCTGGATTACAGTTTCTACAATCCCTGACAACCAAGCATGTTGGAAGATGAAGTTCAAAACATATGGATGGCCAAAGGTTTCCTCTGCTAGATACTAAAATCTAGTTGCCTAGAAACAGATCTAGTTGCCTGAGGGTCAACTACTGTAGAACCAAGAATGGGAAGTATTATTTCTCTGAGCTCAGAATATCCACAGCAAACATGGTCATTCCTATGGGATTCCGGGAATTGTAGTCCAACTGTTCAAATCTCTGAATATAACCCTGTGGAACTCTGTAGGCCAGCAGCCAAGGATATGAGCAGTTATCACCTGAAACATAAAAAATTCTTGGTATCCTTATACAGTACTTATATGGGTTTACCTTTGAAAATGGTTTAGAAACCTCAGCTGGCTCAAAATGCTGCAACCAGACTGCTGACTGGAGCAGATTACAGTCTAATACCTAACCTAGTAACACTAAGAGGTGGCTAGGGTGTGGAGGTCTTAAAGAATGGACTTAACTGTCTGTGGATATAGCACCACAATACAGCACCACAATGAATACAATTAAATAAAGACATTTAAATGTTCCAAATCTGGTCTGAAATTCCTGAACAAACATTTGCCACTATTCTAGATTATATGGCATTTAAAGTGATTAGCAACCTAGCACCAAGAAAGAAGAATAAAACCAAATTTGATGAAAACAAAATGTATGGATGATTTCCACTTTGACAATTAAAATGTGCATTTTTTCTCTCTGTCGCTCTGCTTACTGCATCTCCCCAAATGTAATGAATTTGATTATAATAACTCTTAAAAAAATACTCTTATGTCACACAAAAGCTCACTGTTTCTTTGAGGAAGGAAAAGAGAGATTAGCATTTTTGTTGAGGCTTCTAAGCTGTGACCTTTATTTTTATTTTTACTTTTTTGCACAATGTATGGAATACTTTTTTTGTGCAAAATTTAATGGCTGGTATGTCTCCTTTCCCAGAATTTCTGCAAATGAAAAAGATTTCAGCCTCAATTATTTCTTCCTTTGGTTTATTACTGACAAAGTCTGACCAAGCAATGCATCTTCCTTTCTGTTACCTGGTTTAATGCTGTTGAATTCTTTTTCAATTGTCTCTTCAGCAGTTGATAACATGAGATTCCTCACATAGAGGATTTTGACTGATGACATTGTATCTTCATCAACTTCAACCTCTGGTTCTGCCCAGTCTACAGCTATGGGATGCCCCCATAATTGAATCCTTCCTGTAAAAAATTCCACAATTAATTTTTTTTAAATTGGAGGTAGAAGCATAATGAGGAGAGCAGAAGATATTTTCAGTGGAGTGAAGATGGTATTCTTAAAATGAATTTACTGTTGTGAAACTATTGTTGGCTTTAAATAGCAATGGACAAGAAAAGACTCTAGTTTCTTACAGATTATGGACTGACAACTACCAGTTTGACATGACTGCTAATTCTTTGTAGAGTTACATTTGCAGGGTTGCTTGATTGGGAAACACCCATGCTTAAGCTATTTTGAACTTGATTAAATTTTACTGTATTTTGTAGACATATGGGAATATTTATTTATTTATTTTTACCCTATCTTTCTCCTTTAAAAGGACCCAAGACAGCTGACATCATTAAAAGACAATACTTCTAGCTAAAAACAATAAGTATGTAAATACTACAAAAGATCAAACTAAAAACAGTAGACAGAAGCAACACCAAAAACACATTCAAAGCAATAAGGCACAATCATCCATTTGGAAAAAAAATTACTCAGGCAAACAGTCACTGAGAGACAATCTGGCTGAAGAGAAAGGTCCTTATTTGCAGAAAGACAGTAAAGATGAGTTCAGCCTAGCTCCTGGGGCAAGGGGGGGGTGTCCCAAAGTTTGGGAGCAGCAACAGAAGGCCCTTTCCCGCGTCCCCACCAAATACACCTGTGGAGGTGGTGGAGCTGAGAGAAAGGCTCTCCTGATGATCTTAACTGCCGAACAGGCTCATAAAGGAAGATGTGGTCATTGAAATAGCTTGGATTGTGTCAGGCTTGAGGATTTATTAACCATAATACTGCTTAGGCCATCCCTCCACTAATGATCAAACTAGACATGGTGTGAGAGACTAGAATATTCCATTTTTTACAAAAAGTTAATAGCTGTGAGGGGAAGGTGAGTCACATTAGGCCCATGGCACTGGGAAGTATCTTTTTATTGCTTTCTATCTGTACTCCAAATCAAAGTTGCCTCCCTGAAGTTCTTATTTACCCTGAGGGGAAACATTGATACCATGGGAGTCGCTGGGCTGGGACTTCCTGTGCTATATCTCGTTGGACTCTGAGCAGCCTCAAATTCTTTTTTTCTTTTTTTGCACATGAAGGTTCAAAGGGCATGAATGTTGCTTATTATTGTACACATACAACTATTCACCTACTTCTAGCAATAATGGCTCGTATATCTTTAAATCCCACTCAGTCGCTGGGTTGCCTGGCTTGCAGACTTGTGACCACTTACTGTCCTTTACATACAACATATTGCACAATATCATGGCGTTTTAATACGTTCTTACCTGGTAGCAGTTTTCGTCTTGCCATAGCTGCTGCCCGGTGGCTTCCATACTCCACAAAGGCAAATCCACGGTTTTTGGCTTTATCCGCTGCACTGGGGTACACAATGACGTCGACAACACCATCTGTAACTTTCTTCATCTCTGCCAAAATTTCTTCCCTTTTCTTGTTTTTGGGGATTCCTCCTACAAATAAACGGCAGTTGTCTACACTGGCACAAACCCCTAGGAGTCGACCGTTCCTGCATGCAAACAACAGTTCCATTTTTGCAGTGAAACAGATTTTGCCTCTTTGAAAAACCTTAAAACTCATACTGCCATGCCAAATGATCTCAACAACATAGGTTGACAAGGGATATTTAAACCAGCCAAAAAGTGAAAAAAATTCTCTGTCAATTAGTTGGCAATAAGACTATTAATGACTTAGCAATAACATGATTTACTCAGCAACAAAACAGTTTCTCACACCATGCACTAAGTTGTGCAAACCGATGGTCTAACTCAATGAAGGAAGATTCCTATGTTCTTCTGATTAGTTTGTCCTTTGTTCTGGTTTGAAGGTGTGCCTTCTATTGTATTCATTGAATTTTTAAAATATCAGGAGGCACTGGGAGAGCATTGGTCAAAATGTGGGTTGCACATCCATTATATAGAAATAAACTAACTATGCTTACCTGATTTCATAATTGTTCAGTTGTTTAATTGCATTCTTAGCCTCCTGTTTGTTGGAGAATGTTACGAAAGCATAGCCCCTGTTATTTCCATTGAAATCCATCATCATCCGCATTTCATAGATTTTACCAATCTGGAAAAGAAAAAGCAGATTTTCTATATACCTCACTGGAAACTATTCTCTATACTGCCTTCTCTGCATAAGGTTTTGTTTTTTGGCAATTTTGCTGGTGTGTGTTTCACTCCAGGGTCAGTTGACCATTGTCCTTGAGTCTAAAGCAGAGCATGTTTTACTTGAGATCTGCCTTCTGACCTATGCACCAAGTCAAAACAAACAGAGGCACCATATGTCAAAGTCCAGCCCATGCTGAGCAAGCAGGGCCGAGCTTGTTAGCAAGGTAAATGACCTCTATTAACACCCTCTGATAACATATTGTCTAAGCTTCTGTATTCATCTCGGGGATCTCAGAGTGTACTCATCCAAAGTTAAGTCATCTTTTCTTGCATGGATTTGTTTTTAAAATTCTATTTCCATTGGCATGGAGAGCAAAAAAAGGGGCACCAGGCTACTGAGCCACTTGCATCCTATCCAGGTGCAGACTTAAAACACATTCCAGTTCAGCTCTTCACAAAGATCTTGAATAAAAGGCAATGCATAACACCTGGGCTGTCCTTATACAACCCTGACAGGTGGGGAAATGCTTGACAAAGGTAGCTAAGCAGTGTCTGCAATGCTGACGTACTCCTGTGTGGCCAGGGAAATAGCAAGAAAACACATTTCTACATGTTTCCTCTCTCCATGTTTTCGATTTTAACCTATACCCTTATACCCCAGAGAAGATACGTATTCTTGCCATTTGTTGCTGCTTAAACTAACACTAAAATGGCAAACTGTTTGTAGTTTCCTCACATTTAGCTATATTAGCTTGTGCTCAAACATCTCTCTCTCCCTCTCTCTCTCTCCCCATGCTTTTATTTTGCTGGCAGGAATTATATGTAGAAGCCTTCTTACGAGTGAAATTCTTTTGCCAGATATGGAAGCAACATGATATACATTATAGGCTCAAATATTTTCAAAAAATATTTTCAGAACTGGAACACAGAGGTTCCCTATGCATAGAAATTATGAAGAACAACAGAATAGTTTTTGTCCGACCTGACCTGCATCTCTTCATGAGAGATAACTGCATGTGTAAGTTATGGTTACAAGAAAACATTTTTTCATTCACATACAAGAGTCCCAGAATTCCTAGGGATTTTATAAGGAGTACTACATTAGTATTTGCATAAGTGTTTCGGTTGTTTTTTTTTGACACAACATGTACAGTTCCAGTCTAGTATTTGCATAAGTGTTTCAGGTTTTTTTGACACAACATGTACAGTTCCAGTTATGTACATCACAATATGTCCACCATGGAATAAACATGAAACTCTTACACAATGGGAATAAACAGTGTTGAACTTTACAGTGTAAATTCTTATGCAAATCTAAACCACAGCACCCAAAAAAATAACAACACAAAAACAAATGTTGCTTGAGGGAAAGAGGAAGAGGGAGCAGGCAGTCACTGGCTGGGGCATGCTGGTGTAATTCTCACCTCCTGCCAGTGGTAGCATATGAACAGCAGTGTGGGGCTATTGTGCAAACATGGGGTATAGCTCACAACAGTTCTGGTGATCACAGAAGCAATTCTTAAGGAGAGATAAAACACCAGACACCATCAACATCACTGCTAACCCCACTACTATATTAAAAACCCAGAACAGGAACAGAGGTAGGGGCTACAAACTGGAGAATCACAATATAGAATTACTATGATTAAGCATTACTGTGGTTAAACATAGTTAGAAATGTGTTCTTGAAGACTTTCACAGCTGGGATCCAATGGTTGTGAATTTTCCGGGCTGTTTGGCCAAGTTCTGGAGGTTTTTCTTCCTAAGGTTTTGCAGCCGGCCACAGAGACTGGCAAAACAGTAGGAAGAAAAACCTCCAGAACATGGCCAAAAAGCCCAAAAAACCCACAGCCACCACAGATAGAAATGTCTGGGTTTACCCATTCCTGCCTTTGCATAAAGCAGGGATGAGCAAAGTGATGGCCCACAAGGCATTTTTTAGGCTGCAGTTCCCATCATTAATCACCAATGGTTCTACTAGCTAAGGTTGATGGGAACATTATTTAAAGGGCCACTTTTGGCCTCCTTCTGACGTAAACCTAATCCTGACTAGGTCTCTTCCAGCCTTCTGCCTTTCTCTCTATGTTCTGTGCCACTTGGTGTCAGCTATGTCTCAAGGCAGGGGCTGGTGGTGGTGCACTACAAATAGCAAACAGTATCAGATATTGATTTTATAGCTCAGCTGGAAAGGATGGACCAGTCATAAAATGTTGCTGTATGGCCGCTTCCATTCCACCAGCACCAATTCATAACCACCCTAACCTCTATTTTTCATTTTTCCCCCCAACATTCGATCAGCATTCTGAGAATGCTGAATCCTCAATGGCTGTTTCAGGCCCCTATCTGTTAGAATTCTCCCCTGCAAACCTAAATTTAGTACATTTCTGCTTAGGGTTTCCTTGTTTTGTTGATCCCTCCCTTATTTATGGCTGCGATGGGTAGCTTTGGCTACATATTTGGGGGCACTCAGAGAATTCAACTGTTAGTCTATATAATGCCAAAAATGCAATGTGCAGCCATCTTCTTCCTGCAGATCTAGTTTAATAAATTCAAGGCATAATGAGCAGCTAATTTTTGGTGGTCCTTTTTTGTGGGTAAATAAGTTGTCAAAGTTACTGTTCACAGCCATCACTTTGGCTTTTCTGTGCTTGTCGTCTTTGAAAAAAAAAACCTTTGCCCTTCTCACCAAGGCATGCACCTCGAGGCACTGCTGTCACAAATGGTTTTACTGATGTTAATGGGAGCAACCGTGTGAATAAGGGAAGTAAGACTGTTCTTTCAGAAGACAGAATTCTAATAATTCCCAGCTATAGAACTCAGTCTCCTAAATGCAGAGATCCCAGTATGTCAAGCTCAGTTTCAGGAAATGTCTCTTTAGTGCCAATGACTTTGGAAATGTCCTACAGGTGACAGATAGAGGCAAAGAGAGACAGAGAAGACTGCTAGCTCATGGTCCAAGTGAGGGGGGGGGCAACACCTCACTCACCATTTCAGAATATCCAGTTCAGAATATCCCTCAGGCTAATGGATGGATGGATGGATGGATGGATGGATGGATGGATGGATGGATGGATGGATGGATGGATGGAAAACAAACAGATTGGAGCCATATTCAGGAGTTAGAGCGCGGTGGCTTGTCAACATGCTAAGAGAAGGAATACTTAACACTATCTCCCTCAGTTGTCACTTTCCATACACATTCACTGCCAACTCTGAGGAGGAGAAGAAAATAAGCGTCCTACTCATGTGGAGACCTTCCATGTAAGGAACAACCCTACTGTCCCAGGATTCTTCCTTGAGTGGAAAGTCTCCACATCAGTAGGAACATCACTTTAGAATTAACGGTGAATGTGTGTAAAAAGTGATGATAAAAGGGTACAGGGTTAGGCTCCTTTCATCTAATTATTTTGACAAACTAGGATTCTCAAACATATCAGTTGGGTGATAGAGAGATATCCTCATTTTCTATTAATTATACTCTGTTTGAAAATTCCACGATAAATAAAGGAATGTTTAAGACAGGCAACCCACTAATAAAATCTCACAATCAAATTTGTTGGGCACAAGTGCAAAGTTATCTGGGAGTATACTGCACTGAACTCTGGTGTTGCTTTATCTGTGAAGCTTCAATGTGTATAACATATTGAACTAAACCAGCCCGTGTAGCCTTGGACAAAGGTGCACAAATCCATGCCCCCCCCCCGAAGAAAGGAATGGTAAAAAATTTTGGTATACTCTCTGCCTAAAAATCCCTGAGAAAGGCTGCCATAAATCAGAATGAACATGACAGTTCATAAATACAGTATTATTATGTTCTTCCAATGGAAAAATACTTTGGTATACTCTGCCTAAAAATCCCTGAGAAAGGCTGCCATAAGTCAGAATTAACATGGCAATTCATAAATACAGTATTATTATGTTCTTCCCATAAGAAGAAACTCCATCATTTAGTCCCTGGCTCTTCAGCAGGTGATTGCAGGGAGTGGGACTAAGGGAACAACAACACCAGAAGCAGCGGGACATATGGCACTCCTCTGATCAGTGGAGGCCCGGCCGGCCCACCTGGGTGAGAAGCAGCAGGGCTGAAGGTGGGACTGGGGGAGTAGCAGAGCAGATTGGAGGAGTTTTCATTCCAGTCTGCCCCTGCATCATGAAAGCACTGTTCTCATTGGGCTCGGGGCCATTCTCTCTGGAAGCTTCCAACCCTTCCTGTGTAAATAGAGGCAACAATTGTGGAAGGAGGAGGGAAGAGAAAGAGGGGTATCTTTACACTTCCTATTGTCATAACTTGGTGTTGTCAGTTTGAAGCACTGAGTCAGATCCAATTGGTGGATTTGGGCTGGCAGATACATAACCTACAGTAAGAGGATTCCCCTAAAGGTTCTCGGAGTGGGGCCAGTCACAGTCTGCCTGGCTTAGGGGGCCAGCCAGGTTGGTGCCTATTGCAAATGAGGGATGCCCCACCAAATGGTAGAGCATCTGGGTGGTGCCCCAGATATGGTCATTCTCTGGCCTGGGTGGTGGTCAGTGACTGGGAGTCAGACGGCCTGATTTGAGGATCTGCCTCAGATGATGTGCTAAGTGGATACGGCTGTAGCCAATAAAGCTGTGTCCAGAATTTTGCAATTAAATGTTTGTTTGTTGTGAGCTATTCTGATGACGGGGGAAACTGGGATACCATCAGGGCATGCAAGGCCAGAAACATCTACAAGGCCACGCATTTCCCATCCTTTTCAACATGCAAGGCCAGAAACATCTACAGTACAAGGCCACGCATTTCCCATCCTTTTCACAATGAATTAACATTTCCAGATTAATGTTAATATATCATGTTAGCCTAAGCAATAGAGCAACTACTAACCTTTATAAATAGCTTTGAGAAGGAAGAAAAGAAGGAAGGAAGGAATTTGTAGCACCTTAAAGACATTCGGTACAGTGGGAGATAAGAGTAGACAAGAATCTATTTAGCTCATTTTATCAGATGTGCAAAATACTGTGTGCTCAAGCATTCATATAAAGTAGTGGAATTTATTATAATTTTTTTGGGGATCCTGTTAATTGAGTGAAAGGCCATCCGTGCTTGAATTAATACTGTACCTGAAATTGCCAGAAAGGCAGATGAAAAAGCAGGATCTGAACCATAACTGCACCCAATTTAAAATGCTCTCTTTCCCCTTCTACATCACATTAGCAACACTCTGAAGTGATAGATTCAAGTCTATTTGTAGTATCAGTTGTGAAATCACCCTTAAGCACTATGTGCTCAAAATTATCTTGGTAATACTTTCTTAGTTGTGTGTGTGGATTGCATCCTCAGTTTTAAAGGCAGGAAGCTTACTTGAGAATTGTATTTGCAAACTGGCCAACTACAGCCTGTACTTGAAATGCACATCATCGTAACTATTTTATTTATGTATTTGTTTGGATCCTTCTTCCAAGGAGCTCCAAGCAAACGTTTAGGCTTGTAAGAACTCCTTAGGTTTAACAATTAGACTTGCAAGAGGGAAGCTAGTCATTTATGTAGTCCACCAAGTGTTTGACCCTGGCTTTCAAGTAACCTGTAAAGCCAACCAAACATTTGACTTTGGGTGCCAAGCACAGAGTTACACAGTGGCAATTTCTCATGTTACAGTTTTCCTATTTGAGTTATCCCCAGTCTAGCAAAAAATGTTTACTCTAATGCCGGAGTCTCCTGCTTGGATAGGCTTAGAAAGCAAGAGCACGTGTGTTGGGGCACTATTAGGGAAGGCAGGGAGGCAGGGGCTGGGCGGAAAAGGTCCTAGATTCTGGACCGGGCCGGATAAAAAGGCAAGGTGGACCGAATGTGGCCCACAGACCATAGTTTGGAGACCCCTGCTCTAATGCATGTAGCACTACATAGTCCCGACTTTTCTGCAAATACTCTTACTTTGCTTTTTAGCCACAAGCATTTCATGTTTTAGTCAAATTTCTTGCAACTAAACCCATTCCTAAAATACATGCAAGAGACGTCCTAGAAGCTACATTTAAAAGCATTACTTTTTCACATAATGGTATAAGTTCATCTTCAAAGAGGTCTCGGGGTAATTTTCCAATGAAAATTTCACATCCTCGCTCTGGTGGTGGTCCATCCCAACCTGGTGGCGGCCCTCCATACTTTCGTTGCCCATTTTCCTGTGTTGACAAAAACAAAAGGTGTATCATTCCATTACCTTTGATTCAATACTAGCACTGCATAATTTGCGCTGATTATGCCACCATTACTTGTAAATTCAGTTTCATTCAGTTCACTGAATTTCATTCAGTTCACATTTTGATAATTTGACCATGGATACCTGACCTTGGCTTCAGACCTGAAAGGCTGATACTGTGTGACTCTATGCAGATATCCGAAAAAGAATACAAATATCTTTTTCCTAGAAGGCTGTTCATACAATTCTCATGACAAAAAAGCATATTAAAATGTGTATATTGGGATGATGTGCACACAAGAAAGCATATACAAAAGACTTATATAAAGGGAATCTGTAAGTACTGCAATTAGACAAAGTTAGATACAAAAACAATTATTTTGAGAGAAATGCTCACAGAAACTCATACAAATTGCCACACAGATATTTTTTCAATCATCATTGCTGATGGAAGCCAAAATAAGACAGAATTACCTGACAATTTGGGTGAAAGGAGTGAGGGTAGGGAAAGAGACATAAATGGAGATAAATTGAAACGTATGGATTTGTCTCTTGTTAGATTTGTATGGTTGCACTGGTATTTTCTTGAACTGATCCCACTATGCAAATGGCAGGGGTTGAGTGTAGATCCTAATTGTTTCTTTAGTAGAAAACTTGTTGCAAAAGCTTTTGAGCAAATCCTTACTAAGCTACTTAATTTATCTGAAATTAGCAGTCTGATAGTAGTAGCCATGTTTCAGGGAGAGTCCTACCTGAAGCAAACTATATCCTGTGCGCTGAATTAATGAGCGGAGGGCAGCTTCTTTCTGTGTGCCGGCCAATCCATCCCCGGATTTTTGATTTGATTCCATTGTGAGTGATTATCACCAAAAAATCAGGTTAATTAGGGGTGCTCACTGTAATCAAATTTAAAATAAATTAAGTAAATTAATATTTCTGTAAAGAAAGCTCCATAATATCAATGAGGATGCTATACATGAATTACCCAAAATAATTAGAAAACAAAATAAGAAGACCCAACACCTCAACAAAATAAAAAGAATAAAGGAAGAACCTTGGGAATTCAATGGATTTCTGTGGACTTCGGGCAAGAAATAACTAGCAGATCACATTCCAGAGGAAAATTAAAAGGCTGAAATTCAGATATTTTAGATATTGATTTTCCTGATTTGTTGCATTACATATTTAATATACTGTATTTAATATACTGTAGTTATATATTTATATATATTTAAAGAGAGTGAACAAACTTTAGGACCCATTTGTGTAGGCAATGTTCCTCCACCATGTCAATAATTTCACTAAAGGTCAATAATAATAATAACAAAGGTTTTGTAAAGTAGCACATTTGGGATTAGACTCATGAAATGTAGTCAGATTGGCAAATTTATCTAAATTGGAGGAGCTGTTAACCCAGAATGATTTTCTTTTCATAACATTTCCCATTCTGATAAGAAAATACTGTGGGAAATACATATTTTACCACTTGGTAGCCGCACTGCTTGCCAGAACAAAGGAGGAGTTCAAGGAGACATGGATCCATTCCATGTGATAGGAGGAATGTGGGATCAAACTAGATGTTAAAGACAGTCCATATTCCCTCTGATCAACCCATTTTCTGTTTCACAAAAGGGTCCACCCCCAGAGATTATGTACTTCAACAATCAGACTATGAAATTAAGCCTGTGTTTGCCTTTGAGTGGCCAATCACAAAACAATACATGATATGGCAAATAGGTACCTTTCATCAACTGTGAAAGAATTTCTGCAGGAACAGTGATGAAGAAATCATTCAGTTTGATCCATAGAAATAAAAATGAGGCAATACCTTTAGTTCTGAGATTTGATTATGATCTCTTAACATGAACCACTACTTCTATTATGTCTCATCAGCCAGACAGGCTAGGTCTGATGGGAAGTGAAGTTCAGCAACATTTGGAGTGTCACAAGTTCTCCAACCCTGCTATCTTTCTGACCCAGATGGCTCACATCAGTTCTTGCTGTGTTAATTTGAGAAGGCCTGGCTAATCTCAGCTTCTTCACAACTTCCTTCAAGGGCATTGTCTCCATGTCATGCTGGTATCAGAAGTCTAAGGGCTGTACCAGATGCAACATTAATCATGTCTTCATATCTAACATGCGGGTTCCAAAGGTCATCAGTAGGAGCTAGGAAGGGGAAACGGTCTGATCTTGATTGGTATAGAAGCCAGATTGGATTTAACATTTCTTTTCTTGTAGCTGTGACAAACCCAGACCTACTGGGATATGCCACAGTTTCACTAAGCTGCCACCAACCATTCCCTATAAGAAGTCACACAGACCAGGGATGGATTTTTAACAAATAAAAGAACAAGGTTTATTAAATAACACACAGGGAAAAAATAAAATGATCAAGTGAATAAGATACAGTAACGTGGCTTAGTCTCAATCATACATACACACAGTTTGGTTCACACAGAACACTTAACTTGAAGCACAGACCCTGACCCTATCAGTTCTGGCTAACCATACAGACACCTGAACCTATCAGGTTGGTACTGACTGACACACAGTAGTACCCTGTCTGACACACAGACTCCCACTCAAGCTTCTTCTCTCAGCTCTTCCTCCAGCTTCTCCTTCAGCTCTGCTAACTCTCCACACAAACTCCACATATATATACAGTACAGCCCCTCCTCCTGATGTCCCGCCTTCCACTCCCCATAGGATGGAACTTTCCCTCCAAACCCATGACAGACAGGTAACATCAGTGCTGTATGTAACAGTAGCCTCCTCCTGAAAATCACTTTTATGAAGCTATTATTTTTTGTCAATGAGAGACATCACTCCAAAACAAACATGAGTTTCAGAAGAAGGATTTTTCTTCAAGACTGTAACAGGGGAGGAAGAGGTTAAATTCTGCTCCAGTTCTGTTAATTATCACCTCCTCCGAATTATATTATTTACATTTTTAAAAACGTCCATACAAGATGCCATAGTGCCTAGAGCATTGCTTGTAGCTGTTAGGAACGGCGCATGTACTTCAGACATGCTATTATCACCACTCCCCCACCTTGACACCTATCTTTTTTCTCCTGTGTCCTGAATGTTTTATTTATTTATTTAAATATGGAGCTTTCTCTTTTGTAAACGAACGTGGTGAAGTTTAGGAACAAATTTTTGACTTCACAGCAGTGGCTTGTGTTATTCTGGCCTCAGTGATTATAAAACAAAATAGAACTGAAGATTGTTTTGTTAATTTGGGAGCTGTAATTATCCTAAGCACAATTTGGTGCCTTTAATATATGTTAGATTACAAGCACTATCATGCTATGCTGGTTGGGGAATAAAGAGGTGTGATCCAAAACACTGGAAGCTGACCAAATGGAGAAGACTGAGGAGAAAGGTGAAATAGAAATTAAATGGAGGAGGAGGAGGAGGAGGAAGCTGGCCTAAGCGTTTTGGCAGAATAAACACCCTCATTCTTAGTGAAAAATATCTGTTTATCACCTGGGAAAACTTTCAACACAAAGTAACTTAACCAAGAATTTTCCCCTTAAATGACAGTGTTGTATTTTACAGTGACAGGAGATTAGCCAAACAAATCTGTACTCTAAAGCATTTCTGGAAGAAAGAGCAGCCCCTGTCAGGGGAAAACAAGCAACAAAATGCAAGGAAATGAGCTGTGTATAAACGTGTAGAGAATCTCCCTCCATCATGTGCCTTCAAAATACAACCAAGATATGCCACTAAGGTTTAAAATACTGTATCTAAGTAGATATGGTTAACCTTGTTTGTATTAACATGCATCATGTTTGTGAAGGGATTTGCATTCCAGTGCCCCATGGAATAAATGGTGTGTGTGTGTGTCTGTACATGCATTCACATGCACCTGCATGCACATAGAGTTCAAACTTCCAAAGTTAAGGTTGCTTTGCAATTGCATCAACAATACTCTAACTCTGTTCTATGTAGTCTCGGAAATATTCAGTGAACATGTGGAGGAGAAGTAGGACTGTACCTAGTGCTTCCACTATATGTACACTCTGTGGAGCATCAGGTTAGACATTCTTTTCATACAGGTGAACCTCATTAGGCTCTGTAGGGGTAACTGGGAACTCTTGCCTGGTTTCAGGGACTGAGCTGTGTGGAAGGAGCCTAGGCATGTACAGCAGGTGTGGAGACTGTGGCAATACCTTTCATGCTCCAAATGTTGCTGGACTGCATCTCCTAGTAGTCTAGCCAACAAAATCAATGGAAAGCAATGGTGAAAACTGCAGTCTATCAAGACCTGATTGGCCACGCATTCCTTCTCCCAAATGTACAACTTTTATGACGGCACATATGAATTTATGGAGGCTGGGATGGGATTTCTTATTATTCTGAAGAAACAAATGCAGCAATGTGTTTATTTATGTATTAAGTGTAAAGCTCACCTTTCTGCCAAAAATGGTCTCCAAGTGAAATAAACAGAGGTAACAGCAATGTCTGCATTTATAGAATTATGTTTTTGGGCTGACCTTTAACAATGGATGAGCTTCCCCAGTCTGCATTTCCATTCGAATAAATGTTGTCTTCTGATCTTTCCCAAAGGGGAGTCAGAAGCAGATCAGTTTTCCAGGACAATTTTTATTTTTGTCCCTAATTGTAACTTGGGGAGTGGGGGCACCAGCATCAGGAAGACTACTCTGGACATTCTGGGCAGCCACAGAGCCCTCACCTTTCAAAACACTGACTCCTCCCAGAGGAATAGAATCCCCAGTTAATCATTAAGCAAAGAACCGTCAGAATGTCCATTTCCCAGGCTTGCTAATGTCAACAGATGCTGTGGAGAAGCCTTAGACCTTTGTTGCTGGAGCCTTCCAGTCTGGTCCAATCTCCTGCAAGTGTGTAATTATATATTTCAGGGATGAGATAAACAGTAGGTAAGGCAGTAACTATAAATAACTGGTCAGTTAGTTAGATAGTTAGTTATGTGCCCTCAAGTCAGAACTTACTTATAGCAACCCTAATAGGGCCTTCAAGGTAAGTAAGATATTTAAGGAGTGGTTTTACCAGTTCCACTTCATCAGTGAGTTTCCACGTCTGAGCAAGGATTTGAACCCTGGTCTCCAGGGTCCTAGTCTGCCACTCTATCCACTACACCACACAGGGTACCCATAACTGGTTACCTCTAATTAATTGTTTTCCTAATAACAAAGTCATAACTGGTGTACAATATTATTGTAATGTGCTTCTATCTTAAAAAGGAACAAACACATTGCTTTTTTATATGATTGTGACTTTTTAAGGTTACTCTGATTGTTATCAGGGTGTTGCCTTATTAAATGATAGAGGAGAAATACAGTACTGCATGGTTCGCTATGTGCTTCAAATTGCTGCTTTATGCTCTGTTGTGGGTATTTTGTGCCACAAGAGAGTGAGTTGTAGCATTCAGTTTGTTTGTTTTTTAAACTAAAGGCACATCCTTCTGGGTCTTTTGGCTAAGATCAAGTGTAGTATCTATTCTATTCTAAAGGCACATCCAGGTGGGCACATGGCTCACTATTTGAATCACTTTTGGTGCTGTTTGGTTGGAATCAAATTATGGCATCAATACCTTTTGACTTAGACAATCCATCCCACTTCTTATTAGAGCTGTTCTGCTCTTTTTTGGCTATAAGGTTGCAGATTTTGTTGTTGTTGTTGTTGTTGCTGCTGCTGCTGCTTAGTGATTCAGAGCACTCATAATTATCCCATTCTGTAGCCCATGTGGATGGTTAGTTCACAACCACATAGAGCTGTGGGTGTTGTTGTTTGAGAAGACAACCCAGTCACATAATTGGTGGGTTGTGGCATTGAAACGAATGATGGGAGAACTCTCTCTAGTTTCATCTACTCTACTGTTTTATATTTTTAAAATGTATTTTCCTATTGA